CAGGACACCCCAAGAATCACACCATGTACATGAGAGCATTGTCCAAACACTTCTTGAACTTGTACAGGCTTGGTGATGTGACCACTTCCCTGGGGAGCCTGTTTCAGTGCTCAACCACCCTTTGAGTGAAAAGCCTTTTCCTGATACCTAACCTAAACCTCCCCTGACAGCTTCATGACATTTCCTCAAGTCCTGTCACTAAACATGAGAGTGAAGAGATCCAATACCTGTCCCTCCACTTGGCTTCATAAGGATGTTGAAGACTGCAATGAGTTCTCCCTTCAGTCTCCTCCAGGCTGAACAAACCAAATTGCCTTAGTCACTCCTCATAAGGCTTCTCCTCCAGACCCTTCACCATCCTCATGGCCCTCCTTTGGACACTCTCTAATAGCTTAATGCCTTTTTTATACTGTGGTGCCCAAAATGCACACAGTATTCAAGGTGAGGCTGAACCAGTGCAGAGTAGAGTGGAACAACCACCTCCTTTGACCAGCTGATGATGCTGTGTTTAATGCACACTGGGACACGGTTGGCCCTTCTGGCTGCCAGGGCACTGCTGACTCACATTCACCTTGCCATCGACCAGGACCAGGGCCCCCAGGCCACCTTCTGCAGCACTGCTTTTCAGTTTCTCATTCCCTGGTCTATACACACAACCAGGGTTGTTCCATCCCAGGTGCAGAATCCAGCACTTGCCCTTGTTAAACTTTATACACTTGGTGATTGCCCCTCTCTCTCACTTGTTGAGGTCTCTCTGCAGGGCCTCTCTGCCCTCGAGGGAGTCAAAGGCTCCTCCTAATTTAGTGTCATCAGGAAATTTACTTATATTCCTTCTAGTCCTGCATCCAGGTCATTACTGAAGATGTTGAAGAGCACTGAGCCAAGGATGGAGCCCTGTGGAACCCCACTAGTGACCAAACACCAACCTGAAGTTAACCCATTCACTGCAACTCTATGTGCCTGACCTGTGAGCCAGTTGCTCACCCATCACATAGTTTTCAGCTGTATGCCAGATATTTTGTCCAGAAGGCTACTGTGAGAAACAGTATCAAAAGCTTTGCTGAAGTCCAAAATTATTACATCTACTGACTTTGCTAGATTAACTAGGTGGGTTACCCTGTCGTAGAAGGAAATCAATGAAACTGCTCCAACTTCTGTGTTGTGCCCAGGAATTTCTCCCTAGGAGATGTTCCTGAGAAGATAGTGCAGGAGAGGTGGGATAACTCTTCTATTGCTTAAAAAATGTCTCTCATCCAAGTTTCAGGCTATACTTCACTTTATCACTTCATACTACAACTATTCAAGATGCTGGAAGGACCCACAGTGATCCTGACTGGAGTAATTTATTCAGCTCCCTGCAAACTGTGGGCAAAGTTTCTTTGAGAAATGAGAACAACAGATATTCCTGCCCTTGCTCATGTGCCCACTCAGTGGCCTGCCCCACCAAAGGGAAAAGGATTGCATCTCTATGACAGGATCGGTTTGCTGCAAATTTTACACTGACTTCCCCAACCTTTTCTTATGCAGTATTTTTCAGTTAACTGTCTATTCTCAGTGTACTTGGAATGGGGTGAGAGCAATGGATTGCTTTAGTGAAGTCACAGAATTAATTCTAACATCATTAAAATGCTGATGTACCTAAAAATACAACTAGTACTGGAAAAGGAAAGCTGAAACACTTTAATGTGTTTTCCCATTTTTTAATAGTCCATCAGCAGAGCTAGTTGCCCTTCTGCTCCCTGTGGTCTCTTATAGCCATAGCAATAAACCGTGTCTGCTCTGACCTGATCTAAATTGCAATTCAGGTTATTTCCATCTGGTGCCATCGCTGGGATTCCCATGTCCATGCCGCAGGTGGTTGTCAGTGTAAGTGCTGGGGCACAGGGAGCCCACACGTGGGAAGCTGGGCATCAGGGGCTGCTGTGATCTTTGGAGGAGGAAGGGGCTGCTTGTAGGTGTAACCTGTGTGTTTGGGAATGTGAAGGAGGCAGACCAGTTTAAGCCTGGAGTAAGGAAGATGTAGAGTGGGCGTAAGAGTGATGATGAAGAGCTCGTGTCCAAACTGAGAGGAGGACAGAAGGGCTTGAGATGCAATTTTTTGGATCAAGACATCTGGATCAATCCAAGGAGATAACATTTAGGTCACTTAGGCGACAACACTTAGGTCACTTAGGCGAGTGAATGCTATGCAAGCAGCCTGCACAGGATGTCCCTTGGTGCTTGTCTTAATTGTGCATCCCCACATCACTGCAGAGAATGAATACATTCTAAAATCGTGCAGCAGGGAAGGGAGGCCAATAGACTGCTCTGGTTACTTTGTAACAAGGCATAAAAACAGAGAGTGGGTCCACAGGGCTGACCAGACTGCTGGGGGTGCCTCTAGCGGCTGCACTTCTGCGTCCCCCACATCTCTCCCCACGGTTGGGACTTTTTTATGCAATAAATGCCTTTAACCCCTATGGGGATGTTAAAGCCTCTAAAGATTTATCTGCAGTATAGTGACAAGAGTGCCTCAAGCCCTTTTCCTTTCCTGGGCTGTGTGTCATCAGGCTTCTAGAAAAAGGAAACATTTTATTTCTGGGCATCTCTACAATTAACTATTGATGAGAATTTAAAAATTTCACATTGCATTTGTATTCATTTCTCATGAATCTCCAATCTGAGCATGTCTTCTCCACAAGTCCCTTTCCCTCTTCCTGTCCTCTGATACCTGGACACAGCGTAGATTATCTGTCAACACTTTAATTCTGAATGTAACTCAAACTTTTTTGTGCAATCAGAGCTCAAAGATTTATTCCTGGAAATCAGAATAATGGTGGTACTACTTTTATGCTACTGTTGCATCAATAAAGGCATGTTAAACTGCCTGCCTGAAACTGTTTCCTAAAGCACTACAACATCAATTCTGTCTTACAAATAACAGAGGTTTGGAACAACGCAGAGGAAATTTAAAATAAAATAAAATAAAAAAAAAAAAAAAAAAAAAAAAAAAAAAAAAAAAAAGAAGACAACAAAAAACCCAGGCGATTTCAGCTAAGGTACTACCTTAAGCAAGTTTCTGAAAGCTGCATTCCTACCTTGTCCCTAAGACTCCTGTGCCTCTTAGCTTCCCTGGTGTATTCAGTCTTTGTATTTTGTCTTACAAACAGAGGTTAGGATGGAGAATGAGGTTGTAGGTAGGAGAATTAGCTCAATACATTTAATGCAAAATACCTAAATGTTCCTACTCAACTTTCGGGACAGAGATATGCGGGGCTGGCTATGGAATGGGTCTTGAAAGCTGAGGGAACCTGGATCAGTTCTGGGTCTCTCTCAATAGTGTTGTGTGCTTGTGTTTGCTGTTTTAGTGTTTATGTCCTGAGTGAAAAAAAAAAAAATAAGGGGAGGTTGCAAATCAAAACTTCTGTTAGGTAGGAATTACAGTCCCTGAGGGAGTGTGGGCTGAACACCCTCATTCCCCAGGGGCAGACAGTGATTCTTTCTCAAACTCACTATTTCAGAGCACTTCACTGAGACCAGATAAGAAATAAGGTTTGAAAGGATGGCTTCACCTCTAGTCAAGTGCAGGCAGTGGCTGTGTCTGGAGCCGTGGTTTTCTCTATCTGAGGCTGCTTAAAGTGCTTCCTAGTGCATCTGTTCTTTGGGATGAAGGCAATGCTTTACAGAGGATCACATGGAGCATTAATAAATTAAAAAGTACAGCACCTATATCCACTGAAATAGCATTTAAATCTCCAGCTGAATCTGTGTGCAGTTTGGCTCATGCTCTGCTTTGCCTCAGGAAACCCTATGCTGCCTTTCTCTGAGAGAGACCTTTGTGTGCAAGTCCCCAAGCTCTCTGCAGTGCAGCAGAGCACACCCTGTCCCTTCCCTCCACACCTGCATGTGTAGTGTCACCCAGGCTGGAATGAGCTACTCAAGAGGGAGCTCTGCAGTAACCCATGCTGTATGGGGTTTTGTCCTGGACTAAAAATTTCTCCATCTCCCTGCACCAGCAGGGATGACATCCTGCAATGACAAAGAGCACACCTGGGCCCCTGTGATCCTTCAGCCCCTTTCAAGTCCCCTTTTCATAGCAATTGTGCCATGCAGCCACCTGGAAGGAGAAACACCATAAAAACCAGGATTAAATCCTGCAGAAGGAGATCACCCCACACTTTCGCACAAGTCTGGGGCCAGATGTCTTTCCCTGGTCCTACTCTGGGCAGGTCCTAGTGTAGGCCTGGTCATGGAACCCCGAAAACCCCAGCAAGAGCCCAGTGTTCTGCCATGCACCCAACAGGCAGCCCCAAGCTAGTGTAAAAGCACCTCAGCAGTGGCCGTGAAACCTACAGGGACTGAGAACGTGCTGCTGCTGCGTGTTCCAGTCATCGGAGTTTCAGAGGTGTTTTTTGCCTTTCCATAACCAAAACTCACACCTGCAACCCCCGAGACACTGTGTGGAGGCCGTGGGTCCTGCCCCGCAGGGCCCTCGCCTCCGGCAGCATGTGGTCATCCTCTGCGAGCATCAGCCCCACACTGCGACCTCCTGCTCTGGCGAGAGGCTGAGCCCCCCGGGCTACGGCCTGGCCCTCGGCCGGGGCTTGTCGAGGCGGAGGGCAGAGCCGGCGGCAGGGAAGGTGCGGAAGGCTGGACTCCCCGCCCTCGCCTCCCCCTCCGACCCCGACGTGGAGAGGAGCAGCCCTGAATAACTGCGGCTCCGCCCTGGGGAAGGGGCACCCCTGCTCGCCCGCCCGCCCCCGGGGCTGTGCGACCCCCAGGGTGGGCCGCCCCCGCCTGCCCCCCCCCCCCGCTACGCAGGCCGATATAGCCGCAGGGGGCCGACAGCCGTCGGCCCGCTCGCCTCGACGGCGCCTGGCGGCGGAGGGCAGAGAGCAGAGGCTCCCGCGACTCCGTCCCGCCCCGCCCCGCAGCGGGACCCTGCGCTGGCAGCACCCAGCTGTCTGCCCCTCCGCTTCCCGACAAGTCCAGCTTTCCCTTCCCAGACGGCTCGTCCTGACATGGCTCTGTCCCTGTCCGGCGAGTCGGTCCCCGGAGACGGCGGAGACGCGCTCGGGATGAGCCCTGGCCTCGCCTCCTACTATCCCTCTTTCCTCCCTCCCGTCCAGTACTTCGAGGCGGCCCCCGACTTCTTCCAGCCCCTGAAACCCCTGGCGGGCTGGTTCCCTCCTCCCCGCCTCTGCCCTCCTTCTCCTTCAGCAGGGTCCCCGCTTTCCTGACCCAGCCGCCTCCCCTGCCAGCCGAGCCTTTCCCTAGCCTCCCCTTGCCCCTCTACACCAAGGTGCCGGTTCCTTTCCCTCCCAGCGAGGGCTCGGCCCGCGGGACGGGGGCCTTGGGATCGCCGTCGCCGCCCTATCCGAGCCCCCTGCTAAGGACCGCCCGCAGCCCGGGGGCCGACGAGGCAGCGGGGCAGAGCTGCAAGTACCGCTTCACCGAGGAGGAGCTCAACGCGGTGCTGTACGGGGCGCTCCGGAGCAACCAGCCGACCGGGAGCCTCCACGCCATCTCGGGGCTCCGGGTGTCCCCCGCCAGCTCGGGTAACGGGGTCTTCGACGGCGGCGAGAGGGACACTGGGTGGGTGGCACCGGGAGGCAGGGATGTGCCTGAAGCCGGGTGTGCGGGGGGGTTCAGGTCGGCTCCTAGAGGGGTACAGGCTATCCCGCGACAGCCAGGCTAAAGGGCCATCGCCGGGGGCACGTTGGATTTCTTTTCCCCGTGATTTTCCTGTGTTATGAGCCCACACCCTGAAAAGGCCAGGGAGTGATGCGGCTTCTGTCGGGGAGGCAGGACCCGCTCCTTTAGAGTCAGTGCTGGGCTGAAGAAGGGGTCCTTCTTCTGCAGGCGCTGCGGACTCCCCCGCCTCGCCGCTCGACTGGGACTCGCTGCAGTTACCCGAAGGTAGGGCCAGGACCGCCCGCGTCCGCGCTGGGCCGCCCGCGCCGCACTCAGCGCCCTGTCCCCCGCAGGGCTCTCGGTGTTGCGGTTGACCTACGGGGACGTGTCTCACCTCGGAGTCTTCTGCACGGACCCCATCCCCAAAGGAGTCCGCTTCGGCCCTTTCCAAGGCAAAGTGATCAACACCAGCGAGATCAAGACTTACGACGACAGCTCGCTGATGTGGGAGGTAGCGGAGGCATCGCTGGGCTCAGCCTGCAGCCCCAGCGCGGGGTCGGGGCGAGGCTTTCGGCCGTCCCTCTCCCGTAGCCTGCAAGAGGGGTTCAACCCAGTGTGGGTGGTGGGATTGGTGCGAGCGGGTCGTGCGGGATGGGTTGGCCAAAACTGATCCTGTTCTCTCTGCTCTGCAGATCTTTGAATACGGTCGCTTGAGCCATTTCATAGACGGGAAGGGCGCCGCTGGTAACTGGATGTCTCTGGTGAACTGTGCCAGATTCCCCGAGGAGCAGAATCTGACGGCTATCCAGTGTCAGGGAGAAATCTTCTACGAGACCTGCAAGGAAATCTTCCCTAAACAGGAGCTGCTGGTGTGGTACGGTGATTGCTACGTGCAGTTCCTGGGCATCCCCATCAGCTTGAAGGCCATGTCGGAAGGGAAGCCTCCGCAGCACCCCGAAGGTGAGCCTTCCAGCGACTCCTCGGGGACCGCTGCCCCTTTTTCCCAATAGACGTGTACCTAGCAGGGATTAGATTGGCACGAAGGGAGGTAAAGAAACACAGACATCACCTTTTTCCAGCTGTGTTTTATTTTAAAAATTTACCAGACCCTGCGGTGAACCGGTGGGCCGGTGACCGCGGGGGTGCTCGAGATGGCGATGGTCCCGCAGCCCCGGTCCCCCGGATCTGCCCGCCCTCTCGGGGAGCCGACCGTCGGCCACCCCTTCCTGCAACTTCCACCATCCCAAAGCAGCATCTTCCCCTCGGAGCCGGGGAGCCCGTGGCTTGCACCAAGGGCTGCCGGCAGCGGGGAGCAAGAGGCGCCCCTTTCTGCCCCGACAGCTTGGTCTTAGTTCGCGGTTCCTCAGGGAGTTAAAAGTGTTGGTCTGACGATTGTAAAACATCTGGTCGTCCTGGGCTGAGCTTGCCTCGGCCCCGCAGCGCCGTTGTTCAGAGGTGCCGTTTTGGGGAGAAGAAGGGCTTTTCGGGGTCATTCCTTTTTTGGTCCTGTTTCATCTTAGGATTGCACACCTGACTAAGTGATATTTTTCATGCAAGTAACACTCTCAGTAAATGGGGCAGGCTGAAGTCGTTCAGATCCCACAATGTCGATATTGCTGGCAAAAGAAGTGGCTAATGCACTTACTCCCGGAGAGTGGGGTGGGATACTTCTGCTTGTAATGTGCTGAAAGTATGACGTTCTTCAAAGTGAAACTTGTGGAGATTTGTGCCAATGGTGGAAGATTTGGAGCGGGGAAGGGATGTGTCGGCCAGGTGCAACAGAAGGGGAGAGAAGCAAATTGGCATGGAAATTTGGAATGGAAATTTTTGTACCTGTTGTCTGGAAGCGTTTAATTCAGACTAACTAAATCGTTCGTTTCATCTTAAAGTTTAAACCAAAGTTACTTTTATTAAAGATAGAAAAGGATACAAAAATATCTTAAAGTTTTCCAGTGTTGTTTCTAAACTCAGTGGTTGCAAACGGTTTGAAATACAAAAGAAAACCAAATAAACGTCTTATTTTGTTCGGTACGTAATTGAAAACGATAGAAAAGGTGTGCAAAATTATTTTCTTTTGGGGATGGGAGGTAAAATTTACGGACAGTAAATAAGAAATAAATAAGTAAATAAGAAATACCTGGCAATGGTTCCATATGGGGAGACGCTTTTATGTGGGACTCTGCACTGGGTTTTCACAGGTTCTCTAACTGTTTATAGAGTTACAAGGATGAAATCCTGTCTTTGCTGAAGTCAGTAGTTAAAGCCAGTCATTTTAGCAGACTAAGGGCTCTGGTTTGTCCCCCTCCCTTGGAAAGGAGCTGTGCGAGCGCTTAGGAGACCTGACGTGTATTTTGTTGATGATATTGCCAGCATCCGTTTACCGTTATCACCCTCCCAGAGGCTTTAAATTCCCCGTTGGGTCCCAGCTCTGACAAGGATGCAGATTTGAACTGAGTCCCTTTTGCCGTGGTGTAATGGCACGTGTGGTGTAATCGTTTCTGCCGTACAGAAGCCGGGGACAGCTTCAAGTGTGAGCGCTGCGGCAAGGTTTTTGCCTACAAGTACTATCGGGACAAACACCTCAAGTACACTCGCTGCGTGGACCAGGGGGACCGCAAATTTCCTTGTCACCTTTGTGACCGATCCTTCGAAAAAAGAGACAGGCTGAGAATCCATATTCTACACGTTCACGAAAAGCACAGACCTCACAAGGTGAGCCTGCTCCCGGGTCTCTCCTCAGTCACTGGCTCTTCTGGGGGAACTGATTAAGAAGTCTTTTTTGGCCCAGGTAAGATGCTGATGATGCTCCCCCTCCTCCAGTTTCCGTGGCAGTTCCCTGGTGGGAAAGCTCTGCCTGTGCAGGGAGAGCTTGTCTTGTGCAGCAAAGCTTAGTTGGAGACATGTAATGGATTTATATGGGGAAAACAAACCCCACAGTGTCAGTAAGAGTTTAAAATGAAACGAATTATCTCCTGGGCTTTTTGGATATTTTCATATGGCTGTTACTCCTTTTCTTAAATAGTGTGGGGCTTCCCTTATCCAGGATCAGGCATGATGATGTCTCATGTCTGTTTCCCACACACACCCCCCCTGCGGTCTGAGAACTGGCCGACGTCTGTATATGTTTCTGTTGATCCAAACAGGAGTCAAAGGTTTTACACTCCATGTGGACCAGATTTTCAATTGATGAAAGCAAATCTTTAAAATACTTTACTCATCTCCACCAAACACCTTGCTCAGCACTGGCTTTCTCTGAGACTGGAAAATCAGACTTTTTCTAAAGGCTTGGGAAGGGCAAATTTAAGTGCCTGAGATGGCACAGTTAAATGAGTCCTAAAATTCTCCAAATACCTTTTTATAAATCATCTTACAATAATGTGATTTTTTTTCCAGGAAAATATTTTATAACTAAAATGGCGTTATTACAGTGTCAGAATATCTACATGGAATTAGTAAGAGATGAAAAACATTCTATTAAAAATAAAGTGTTCAATACAATTTAATTTCTCCTTTCCTTTTCCTTTCCTTTCCTTTCCTTTCCTTTCCTTTCCTTTCCTTTCCTTTCCTTTCCTTTCCTTTCCTTTCCTTTCCTTTCCTTTCCTTTCCTTTCCTTTCCTTTCCTTTCCTTTCCTTTCCTTTCCGAACCTCTCTGAACCTCTCCGAACCGAACCGAAACCTCCCCTTCCCTCCCCCCCTCCCCTCCCTTCCCCTCTTCCCCTCTTCCCCTCTTCCCCTCTTCCCCTCTTCCCCTTTTCCTTTCTAGTTCTATGACTGACTCCACATTTCTGAAACAATGGTTATTATTGTAAGAGGTCAATTTAAGATTTTTTTTTTTAGTAAGTTTATCTTTTAGGAAAAAAATAGCAAGTGGAGCTTGATTTACTTTTTTTTAAATTGTGATGAGAAATACTCAGATTTTTATTACTGAAAGACATTGTCTGTTCATGTTATTGAAACTATTACAATGAAAAATTTTAAAATTTTGCATTATTTTTTATATATATGATAATCAATCTGTTCTTAAAACCATACTAAAATTCTGGCTATTTTAGATTGTTACTGCTTCTAATTACTATTGTGTTTATATATACTTAAATACATAACATGTGTATATATATAAATATATGGAAGCATACATGCACACATCATCCACATGCATGCTTTGTCTTTTTAACTATGCTGTTGTATGCTTCACTTTAACTTCAGCCCTTTTTTTTTGCCCCCAGTGCTCTGTGTGTGGGAAGAGCTTTACTCAGTCCTCCAGCCTGAACAAACACATGAGGGTTCACTCTGGGGAGCGCCCCTACAAATGTGTCTACTGCAATAAGGTAAGGCATCCTGTCCCATCCCTCCATCTGTCCTCTGTTATCCTTTGTTTCTTTTCTGTTTTCTTTCAAGAAAATGCTTTGTATTTAAGCTGGTAAGTCTGTATATTCTGGGCAGTTGTGAGTTAAAGTGATAGGGCTGGATAAGACTGAAGAAACAAGATCTGGTCTCCATCTGATATAGAATTTGTGGTTCATCCCAGCTCAGTGATCTGCTGCAGAAATAAGGTCTAGGAAAGCTTGAGAGCATTTCAAATACCATCCAAGGCATGCATCTAGATCCAATATCCCACTTTTTCATCAGATAGGTAGCTTTTGATACTAGTGACACTGCTTGTGGATTGCCGTAAAGAGATTTGGTCTGTAAACTGAACCTGCACAATAGGGATTTGTGCATGCTTACCTTGAAATGAGAGGGCTGTAGATGTGCAGCTGGGCATGGAGGTTTCCTTTGGAAAAGAAGACAAACAGAGCCATACAGCACTGATCAAAAATGTGCTCAGCTGCTACTGCCCATCACAGCAGGGATGATTCAGGTGAGCTCTCCCTGTGAAAGCAGTGACAGCTCTCCCAGCAGATAGAGGATGGTACAGGCTGCTGCTGGATGAATATTGGTAGGGCTCCAGGTGCTATAGAGTGTCCATGCAATGCAGAAACACCATCAGCATGTTGTCAGCTCCTCCTGATTTGGGAGAGAGACATTTTGTTTAGGGCTGGCTAGACTAACACGGAGCTGAAGTGTCCTGAAGTAACGAACCTTAGAAAATGCTCCTTTTGGCTATTAGATTTTTCTGTCTCCCAAAGATCCTGAACCCTTGTAGGCAGAGTCTAGGATGAGATGTCATCCCTTATCTCCTGATCACAGAAGTAGGTGGCAGAGCTCTACAGGTAAAGAGCTCTACTGTAGTAAAGAGATCTCTAGCGACCCTTGACCAGCCTCCAGTTAGTTCTCATTTGACTGCTGTGGATTGAATCAGGTTAAACTGCTAGTTCAGGATGCACCTATCCTGGACATAGCCATCATTTCTGAGGCTGGAAAACCAGGAGCTGTTATAAAGAATCCTCACCTGCTTGTCCTATGCAATCATGATTCCCCTTTTCCCCTTCTACCTCTAATGGTGGCTTTGCATTCCCAACTCCTTTGCTGTGAGATTAAAGGAACAGTGTTGTGTCAACATCACTGTTCTGTCCCTCAAACACATTTTGACCCCTTTGATATAATACCTTCAGGGTCTTATGTGTATTGCCATTTGCTGTGAAAACTTAGTAGAGAGAATTTCTTGTGTGTGGTCTGCAAAGTGTCCTGGGAAAAGAAAAAATGGGGAAAACACTGGCAACTTTGCAACATTCGTGATCGAATTTTGGGGAGAGGGTTTTATCCCCAAATGGGAGGAGGAGTCTATGACAGAGTGGGAAAGTGCACACTTTGCTTCTCAAGTGTGTGTGTAGTGGTGGGGGACCTGGCTGGAAGATCTGACTGAAGGAAGAGTAATGATGGAGCAGGGAAAATGAACCTGCAAAAGATGTATGATGGACTGCATGGATGAATTCTAGCAGCTGAATCTCAAGCCAGTGAAAGGGTTTAACCTAGAAAATTGAAGTTGAAAGAAAAACTTGCATTATATTTCCCAAACACTAAGGAGCTGCAAAGCTAATTAGGACAGTATTGACTTCTTACCTCTGACATGAAGGAAGATATTTACTGGTGTCTCTGGTCAGAAATCTTTCTCTGAGCTTCATCTATCTCCATCTCCCTAGACTCAGCCACATCTATATAACAATAGCTATTGGCTTCTGATCCCTCATTGCTGTGAGTTTTTTGATTTTTTTTCCAATTATCTGAGGATGTGAGCTATTTCCTGACTTAATTTTCAGGTCACATGGCTTCTGGTAGGATCTGGGTTAGCTGAAGGTGGATATTGCATATGTGAAAACAAATTACTTCCAGCTCCATCCCCTTTCTGATCTGTGCCCCTTCAGGCATTCACGGCATCCAGCATCCTGCGCACTCACATCCGCCAGCACTCAGGGGAGAAGCCCTTCAAGTGCAAGCACTGCGGCAAAGCCTTTGCCTCACATGCAGCCCACGACAGCCACGTGCGGCGCACACACAGCAAGGAGAAGGGCTGCACGCTGCCAGCACTTCCCTGAGCAGGAGGATTACAACTTCCACATGAGGATCCACACTGTTCATTAGTTGGGAACCCTGTGGGTGTGTCCTGGACCGGCTCATGTGTGTATCAGTGTGTGTGTATCTGTTTGTCCATGGTTGTGTGCACACCACGGGAGGTGACATTCACCCGTGCAGTGACTCTTGAGGTAGGTACAGTCTCTGGACCCAAGGCATATGACTGAGCCCAGGGGACAGGAGTTTTTTGGGTACACCCTGATGCCACACTGTGGTGAAGTTGGAATATTAGTTACTCAACCTGTCCTTTCCTCCCATACCCTAATTTTAACAGACGGGAGGGCATTTGACCTCCCCAAAACCTTTTGTGCACAAAGATCACTGTGAGGAGTGTTTCTGCGTCTGTAATGCACCATGGCTGTGGACTTCCTGGTGTAGTCCATATCGAAACTTGTGTGAGGGATGTTTGTATCAAGTGCATTTCTCAAAGCTGATTTAACCTGTTTTGTTTGGACACATGACCATAGGTATGGGGTCTATTTTCCCTTATCCTGTAAGTTTTCTAATGATGTTCTATTTAAATGTGAACTGCCTCAGAGATACTGACTGCTGGACCAACATAAAGGTATTTCAATTTCTTCATTCAGCTGCTGGGACATGGAGAGCTCCAGGACTGTGAAGATTAACTCTTCCAGAGGATGCTGGTTAGCCTAGAGAGAGAGAATCAGGGTGTGGTGAGATGTGCAGGCCTGACATGCCAGCCAGCAGAGGCAGTGAAGCTCTGCCTTCTCAGAGTTTAGAGGACCAAACATGAAGAAACGCCAGTGAGCTCTCAAGTTGGATCATAAGCAGTCGGGTGGCCTCACTGAGGCATTTCATTGTGGTCTCAGCACAGGCCAGGATCCTGCAGGCACAGTCATTCTTCTTTCTGAATATCATTCAACCTGTCTGGTCCAGGCCAGATGGGTTTTTGTGGTGAGTCCTGATATGAAGGGTGGGCTCTTCTGCTTCCTCCTGGCTCTACACTGGATGACTGCTGTAGTGGCACTCCCTTCCTCTACTCAAAGTCTTAAACTATAGAATATGTGATGCCAAGACTCCTAAGAACCTAAAACTCAGCATGTGAAATTCCTCCCCCAGACTGCAGGAAAGCCTTTGCCTCCATGGGAGGACCAGAAGGTGTCATCCTCCATTTCTCACTGACCATACAACAAAGTCAGGAGTGATTTGTTCAAGTTTATGTATTTTCAGAATTGTTAACAATGATATTCTATGTCAATGTGAAATATCTACTAGGAGGCTTATCAAAAAGCCCGTGCTGAAGGACCACTGAGTATAGGGAGTGCTGTAATTAGTGCAGAAGTTTTTGTTATCACCGAGTGGCCAGCACAATTGGCAGGAGGCTGTGCATTTGTGTGTCTCCCTGTGAGAGCCTGCGAGTTGTCTGTGAGTTGTCTGTGTGTTGTGTTCAGGAGAGATAATGGGAGCCCTTGCTGGAGCTGGTTGACAAACACAAGTAGTTTGATGTTACTGGGATGATGATATTCTAAGTATTCTAGATCAGCTCATATTAATAAGGATTTTGCACATAAAGTATAAGGAAAGTTTTTATTTTGTGCCAAATACAGAATAAAACTTGAAAAAAATGTTACCCGTACATTTACTTATATCGTTCAGATATTCTATCCATAAATATATTGATTTGCACTAATTTTTGTAAGTTTTATTGTACTTGATATGCTCTGTCCTCATTGTCTTCATAGTAAAAATATTTTTTCAATATTTATTGAACCACTTACTTATAAGTAAAATATTGAGGCCCAGCACTAGGCAGTATAATAGAGAAGGCTGAATTTTGTGCATATTGAGGGCTGAACTCCTGACCTCTAAATGGGTAATATTCACTCCTGAGCAGAAAATTATCACAGTACTTAGGTCTACAAATCCATGCTGAAGAACGGGTAGGGGAACTGAATCTTTCTTACAGGTGTCTGTCATTAGGAGGTCTTTTTCCTCAAGCATACAGAATCTTGGCCCACAGAAATGTGAATTATGTGTATGAAGGCTTTGCTGGTTCAGTACCTTAAATAACTCAGGATTTGGTGAAATCAACTCACTAATAATGACATAAATGTTATGACTAGGAGTGGCTTTAAAGTACTGTGAAATGCATGGTTAGCTTCCCATGCAAGTAATTTCCTTGTTTCTTTTGAATGAAGGTTGTTTACTTAAATGGTGCATCTGTAGTGCTCTTCCTTGTGTGCGTTTTCTTCTTGAAGAAACCCCAGATATCTCGTACTAAAATATTTGCACCTTTCTACAGCATTTCATGTGTTGCCTGTAAAAGAGTATGTGAAGGGTTTTACTTGTATGTGTGATTGTACTGGTTGTCTTGCACATTAAACCTGTATATGTAAATTTTGATGCTAATTATTAATATTGCTACAATTACATTGGTGCAAAGAATGAAAATAAATTACTGGAGGTTATAATGTACACTGATGGGCTATGGCTTGTTTTCTGCCAAATGCACTGGAGTTGTGTATTTGAGGTACTAGCAAATGGATGAAGGGTGTTTTCTCTGTCATTTGTAAGTCATTACAGAGTCAAACTGTCTTACTGGGAATTCTAGTCCTTGTCCTGCTGAGTAGCAGCTAACTGCATTTGAAGTCAAAGGCACCGAGTGTCTTGATGGATTGGGCCTTAAGTGTCCCAATAGTTCATGAAAGCTGGTGCCATTCAGTTCTAGATTGAGTTCACTCCCACTTTGCCCAAGCAAGATGATGGATCCAGATTGAGAACTAAATGGGGCATTTAACTACCCTATAGTATTTAACTACCCTATAGCGGCACCCTCTGTCTTTTGAATGGCGAGTCCCAGCTGTGCTGGGGCTGGGGACAGTGAGGATGGCACTTGGCTCTGCACACTTCACAGCAGGGTTGAGAGAAATGAAGCAGCAGGGAGCAGGAGGGAAGGCAAGCTGAGCCGCCTGCCAGCCCACGGCAGATTTTGGTTCCGTGCGAGGAAAATGCAGTGATTGTCAATGCAAACCTATTGCTGTCCTTGCCAGCCAGGGTTTAGGAGAGACTGTAGCCTGTGCATCCAGCACTGAGGTTTTCCTCCCCGAGAATTTACATATTTACTCCTCGCACCTTTTGTAACCGTGCTGGTAGCAGCCAGGTGAATGCACAGCTCCATCCAGCTCAGCCAGCAGTGGGATTTCGGATGTTTATACACACAGATAAGGGGGAGGGAGAGAGCATGTGTGCACGTTGCAGATTTTGGTCTGGCAGGTTCCCAGGATGACTGCATGGTGCAGAAGGCCACGTGCAGGAGGGAGGTTGCACTGCAAGTTCAAGGTAGAATGTTTGTGACCAACTGTAAAGGCTCAATCCTTTTGCTGGGCAGCCCCAGCTGCCAGGTCCCTCCTGAGGAGGCACCATGGCACTCCATGCTCCTGCCAGCCATTTCTGAGCTGAGTCAGAAGAAAACAGGACATACCCACAGTTCTCAGGGGACTGGGCTGTGGCTTTGCATGCTGCACCAGATCCACCTCTTTAATTTCTTGGCACGTTCAAATGTAGGACAGAAGTGTTATTTTCCTTGACAGTGGCTAAAATAATACACTGTGCAATAGGCACCCGTGCTTTTCACTCAATTTACCTTAAACTGTGCAGGGTGCCATCCCTGTCTGGAGTCACATTCTCACTAAAGCAAAGGATGTGTGCGTTCTGGCCGTTCTTTCTCTTAACGAGGATTAAAAATGGTCCTGCCAAGGGGAGTGGCAAGTCAAGTCATTGGGACTAACCAGTCCTGTAAGACACTGGCTGATTTTCAGTGTTCTGCATTAACTCTGTCAGGGTTTTTTAAATGTTAATAGAAAGTGATCTAAATAGAAACCGGAGTATAAGGGCAATCAACTGTTTCTTGGGGCAGTGGGGTGCAGAGAGAGAGAGAGAGAGAGATGAGACTCTGTGAGGCTAACTCCTGAGAAGCCCCTCCTGTGTGAATGACAATGGGGAGAGAAAAACAAAAAGGTGGTCCCAGAACTCAGGCTGGCGAGTATGAGGGAACAAAAGGCCTGGACACCGACATCTGCTGCCTCCAGCATTTCTTGCATATCCCTGCTCTTCAAACACCTGGTCCCCATCCCCCTGCTGCTCCAGCCTCTGTCCCGCTGTCACCCTGGGGGACTCTTGAGAAGAGGGAGGTGGTTAACCACTGAGGATAGGTGAAAAGAAGCGAGGAGCTTAGTGAATTGAAGATAATGCCACAAACAAAACCGTCCATTAAAACAAGAGAGGTCGTTCACCAGAGGAGCCCTGACTGGCTTAAGAAAGAAATTGCTTGGGTCCCCAGTCTCCTAAATGCCCCCACAGCAAGTGCTGGTGTTTGTTTCACCCCGACAGACACTTTTCCATTTCTTTCCTCGCACACATCCCCTTGCACCTTCTCCCTACTGTCTCCTTTACTTAGGTAGTGCAAGGCCTTGGGCACATGGAAGGGGTGTGAGACTGTCCTTGCAGTGTCCTTGCACTTTTCTTTCCTTCTTTTTTGACCTCATGTAAGACACATCCAGATCTTCAGCAACTGTCTGTGTTCTTATTGTGTTTGACTCCTACTTTAAAGAGGCTTAATCTCCACCAGTGAATGCCTTTTCTGAAAAGCCAGTCCCTCGAAGGTGCCTGGGGTTGGGTGTTGACAAACTGGGGTACGGGGCAGCACCAGATGAGAGTATCACAGCACCTCTGCCTGTCCTACAGCAGGACCCGAGTGACTCTACTCCATCTCCATCCCCGGCAGTCATTCTGCAGCAGCTCTTGTTGTAGGGACTGTCCTGCGACTCCAGCTCATCTCTACTGCAGCAGTGGCAAACCAGACTTAAATTCACAGGACTAATCTCTTGTCACAAGGCTAACCTCTGGCTAGCCCAGCAGTTTAGTAGTGTAGAGAGTACTGTTGCATGCCTTAGTGTGAGAATGCCACACAGTCCTGCAAACTACAGTATTATCAGTCTGCAGA